ATCTATCTATCTATCTATCTATCTATCTATCTATCTATCTATCTATCCTCCCCATCAATGCACACTTATACCTGTATGTATAAACTGTTGTGAACAAAAGCTTTCATTCATTTGTAAAAACACCATCATGCATGTACCATGTTTCCATTGACTCCTATAACTTCTAATGTTCTACGATGGAATCATTGAAACACATGTTGTGCTGTAGTCACTCAGAATCACTCAAAATAGGTTAAGAGGTCACGCCACCAAGAATATTTAAATAACACAGCTTTCCACATCACCAAAACTGACAAGTCAAGTTGCTGCATGTATATTTGTGAACCAGCACAGATTGTGGCACATTTCCAGAAGGCTTTCAATAAATCGGTAAAAAAAAAGAAGAAAATCTGACAAAGAGTGTTTCAATGATTCCTTCATTTAAAACAAAAAAGCTATATTTTGATATATACATGATATATTTATTTTTAACTTCTTTATTAGATTTATTTCAGACATGCCACAGTATCACAGACAAAAAAGATGAAACGAAAAACACAAACAATAAACGCCAAAAACCAGAATCTACAATAATGTCTGAACACAAGTAGGATGAAGTTTAACTTACTAACTCCTACCTGTTACATGTCCACACATCTCATCTCCTGCTGTTTACTGTTTGCAGCAAACCTTATATTTACACATCTCTTAGAAAACCTTAAGAACACCTTTACTTTTCCACATTATTATATTTTTCAAGTCGTCTTTTTTTTTGTAAATTGTCTTGAATTGTTTTATAGTTGTGCTCATTCTGAGACTGTTCCATAAATTTACCCCACAAACTGAAAAACGGCTACTTTTTGTGGTGGTACAAGCAAATAGCTTTTAAAATTTTAAATTAGCGTTCAATTCGTAGTTTCCAATGTTGCTTGTGAACAGTTGTATGTTATCAGGGAGTGAGTTCTTGTTTGCTTTGGCTATATACATACATGGTCTTTACAACTGTGTCTACAAATGCAGTCAAACTGTATCCTCCCTCTTTATTGTGCACACTCGCCTACAATCCCTTTAGCCGTTCACAAACACACACAGACTCTCCCCACCTGTTGGTAAATGGGTTTGAGCTCCTCCAGGGACTGTTTGCTCGTGATCGAGTAGACCAGGATGAAGGCGTGGCCTTTGGAGATGGACAGACGCTGCATGGCTGGGAACTGGTGACTTCCTGTTGTGTCTGTGATCTGGAGGGTGCACACGCTCTTGTCGCAGCTGATCACCTGGCGGTAGGTGTCCTCCACTGTGGGGATGTAGGTGTCCCTGAAGGTGCCCTTTACGAAGCGCAGCACCAGGGAGCTCTTCCCCACTCCCCCAGCCCCGAACACCACCACACGATAGTCGTTGCTCTGCTCCGGCATTCTGCCCCCTCAGGCTTAAGACAGTGTTACACCTGGAACATCAGGGAGAGGAGAAGCATGATGAGAAGACCACTTTAGCAAATGATTCGTTTAATAACGTCGAGGCGGCGCAGGAGCAGCAGAAACGAGCCAGAATGGGGGCGCTGGTGGTCTCGCGCCAGAGGCTCTCACAGCAATCCATCCATCCTCGTGGTCTGACTGGGAGCCAGAGTACAAATTAGAGAGGATGAATTTGGTGAGGCTCCAAGTGTTTCACCTGACGCAGACATTTCCCTAATCAATACCCTTCGCAGAGTCACAGTTTCTCAGTTTCAACCCCAAAAAACATTCCAGCCTTTCCTCATTTATCAACGATAGCGACTGCAGCAAACCCTGGAGGAGACGAACACAGAGGACTTACAGTTCAGGAGGATAATCTTCAGGCCTCCAGAGGGCGGACACAGAAACACGTACACCACAATGCAATCCAATACATCTACACCTCGGCTCTAGAAGTAAAATTCAATCAAAACCTCTCAAGCAGGAAGTAACAGAGCATTACTAACACTTCAAAAATGCACAGTTGTGTTGGATTTTATGTGTATGATGAAGCACATTGTTAACTGAACATCAACTAAGACTGATTCTGATCCAAGGAAAAATCCAACAAATATAGATGTAAAAGTAGTAATAGTGGGAAAAAACATGTTTTGCTTTGTTATTTTCAATAACGTGAAGGGTAAGCATTAAAAAACCTGCAAAGTAGGGCAAATACTGAAGTGAAATTCAGTTAAAAACATGATGAATGAGTGTTAATGTAGCTCCACATGTGCTGGATGTGTAAACAGGCAACTACAAGCTCAGGGTATATTCATGGCTTGTTGCCCCGAGGGGGTAAAATTCAATAATGGCAATTTTAAAGATATCTAATTTAGAATTTAGTCAATGTTTCTTGTTTATTTGTTCTGTTTCAACCTGATTTGAGACACATCTTCAAGAAATACAGGGGTTCAAAACAAAACGTGTGTTTTACAGATTATAATAATCCACAATGAAACAACGGCAAACCACTCAATTCTGGTTATCAAAATGTTAATAAATGCATTATTAAGTGAAGAGCATGAGCACAAAGGATTCCATAGCTATGATAAACCAGCAGCTCCTCGCTGAAGGACTCAACAAATCTTCACCGTCAGTAATACCTGCTGCAGCTCATGCATATGCATCCGAACAGCATCCTCACACATAATCTATCGCCATCTTTCTAAGTGCTCGCGCCACTGCCGAGTGTCTGCTCATGATTACACATTGTGTCTGCTGCATTATTTATCTGATGTGGTTCTAAACTTGCTTTAAAGTCCTATAATAGGACACGGCTTCAGATGCCATCTCGCTGCTCTCTAAGCTCCGGCTGTAATGAAACAGTAAATTGACATCAATACCATATGGAATGAGTGGATTTCTGTCATGCTTGCTCTGCAGGAACCCACTATTGATGGCGAGCCACCTGTAATTGCATTGCCGGGTTCTAGTTAATATCCGTCAAGGGGCAAGAAATAAATGGGGATTCGGGGAGAGCCTCTTGAGTTTTATAGTCAGTCTCGAGCTGTAAGTACGACTGACACGAGACTGTTTTATATTCATGCCGAACACGCGACACACAGTTAATTTACAGGTGAGCCCGTGGCTTCTGCTCTTATGCCTGCAGACTGTTAACTGTTTTACTCTGGTCTTGGCAAAAACGGAAAAATCTTGGCTTTCTGATGCCTTTGAGGGATGATGAACGCTGCATTTTTTTGAGATAGCAGTGGATGCAGATGCTTTATCCAAGTATTTCCCTTTAAGATTCTGGCAGATTAAGATTCTTTTTTTGTTTTTTTTAAAAGGCTGCAGCAGTGGAAACCTGTGCAATGAGCTACATGTTGATGGTTGCAGCATCGCAGCAAGGCCAAACTGTTTGAAATGTCAAAACTGCCAAAAAGAAACGACTATCATCTGCGCTGCCTCCAACTCTTGGCTTTAATGAGGCCTTCAGTCACGCTGAAGAATTGTGGCCAGAGCTGCCAGAGCTGCACTGTGATTTCTGCTTAGACCTGCTTTATGTCAGACGTTAACAAACACACACCCACACCACAAATCATGCACAAATATGGTGAAAAAAAAAAGCCAAATTACAAAGTTTTCTGACCTTCTTGGAGACAATTAAGCCTCTGTTACAGTTAGGACATCATCTCTAATGGTCATGACAATGTTGCACCCTTTTAAAACTGCTATAATCAATAGTTTTTATATCGACTGTGGCTCAAATGACTAAGTGTACGTGGAAGGTGTTGTTTGTAGCGACAAACTCACAGTCAATTATCATGCAGCACTGCAGTCCACTCAGCTCCGCAGAGCCTCAACTCATTTTTCCGGCTTTACAACACACAGAATTACTGTTTTGGTTCCCTCTGAATCGTGTTTTTAGGTGGCAGCACACAGACAAACAGTCAGTGCCTATAGCTGGTGCACACAGCGGAGCATTTAGCTGTTAAACAGCCTGATATTTCCCTCAGGAGCCGGCAGAGACCAAAACAAAAGGACAGTGAATATTAGAATCGCGTTTGTTTGGTCCCCAGAAACGTGACTCCAAATCAATGCTAATGCTGCTTTGTATCCGCTGAATTGGTAATTAGGCAACTGTTTGCTAACACATCCTCTATAAATACCTACTTTTCATGTTGTTGCTATGTCAGTGCTTTGTTTACAGCTCAGTGTGCTTCCTCCGAGGGGCTAATAATAGATCAGACCGTAAACAAGCCGGCGGTTCAGTCAGGTGATCTCAAACACTCAAGAAAGTCATCTATAAACTGTGATGCCTACGATTACAGCAGACAGCTTGGCTTGTGATTATACAGTTTATCTTCCAAATAAATTTGGCTCAACTGTGGATTTCTTGTCCTGTTTTGTTTATTTTTAGCAGTGTAGCTGTGTTTTCCCAGATCTCAGCAACTTCATGAGTACAGCGTTATTATTAGAGATAGAAGCTGTGGCCAGGACAGTGATAACACAATGTGATTTTGAACTATGTTTTGAGAAAATACAATGGTTCTGATTGACAATTATAAGGAAACACAACGAGGAAAATCCCAATCAGCCGTATAATATCATTAGAGGAGATGGAGAGTATGGCCAGTATAACACCAAAATGAAAAAAATGGGAACTGCCTTTGAAAAAAAATACCATGGATCAGAAGATAATTTGACAGTTGTAATGTAATACTACAAGCAAAAATCACAAAAGTAAGTCCACAATCACAGTCCACAGCTCTACTGTGGTTACCGGAGACACACACACTTGTGCATCCTCTTGATACTGACACGCTCAAATATTCCTTTTACTCTCGCGTCTTTCCTTGACCTGCTTCCTGATCTTCCTCTAGCTGTTTTCTCCTCTGTCTCCTGCTCTCTCTGCTCCCCAGGTCTCCATGCTGTGTGTGATCAATAAACTAAGGCCGCTGTGGTTTTGATCGATGGGGCTCGTCTCTCCGGGAGCTGTCAGTCTGTCATCCATCCTGCCTCACTTGGTGCCTGTTTGGGTTTTTTGTTGTTTTTTTTTTGAGGGGGGGATGTGGATTTCAGCTCCATGACAACAATCCTGCTCATCAAAACCATCCTCCACTCTGTCCCCCACCTCTCTCTCTCTCTTTTTATTTTCCACTTGAGCTAAAATTAGCAGTTCTGTCAGCAGCTAGAACTGCACACACACAGGTGCAACCTCACAGTGACACACATACTGTACTTCCGCTTCCACACCATTTGTCCTTGACACCAGGTCTTTGAGATTAATGACAATCTCTCCCCCCCCACCCCGAAACGCAAGCTGTCGCTCTCCTTCACCCTCCTCTTCTCTTGTTTTATTCGAAACCAGAGGACTGCAGTTCCTTAATGAATTAATGGCACGCTATAAATGCATCTGTGGCAGTGCAGCCAAACTCCATTAGCAGATAGCATTGGCACAGACCAAAACAGGCCCTTTTCTCTCCTTCAGTCAGAAAATAGACGCAACACAGCCTCGTTCGCTTCACAGAGCGAGCGAGGAAATGTCACCTTTAGCGAAAAATATGCACATAATTTCCCTCAAGAGAGCCACTTACGCAGTGGCACAAAGGAAGCGCATTAACCAACATCAAACACAATGCCATTCAACAGATCAAGAGCGTGATTAAATAGACACCCACAAAGCGGTCCCATGGTATCTTGTAGAGAAAGGGGGTTTTAATCAGGCTGCGCACACTGGAATGCTGTGGATACAGGGCTATTTGGCGATGAGTGTTTTACAGGATCAACAGATTATCAGCCGCGGGGCTTTTCTGAAATATCCTCTGACTTTGCGCGCTCGTCATGACAATGTCTGGAACCTGCACAAAGTTTTTCTATCAGACTGGGTTATGTGTGTCGGCGTCGGTGCAGTCGAGCAGAAGATTCCACTGTTCTGTGTGCACACATCAGGTCTTTGCAAGTGTCTGCGTTTCACCGTTGGGATTAATCTGCGGTTTTTTTAGCCAGGCAATTTTTAGACTTGGGTGTTTTCATTAGGTTCGAGCACACTGTAGAGGTTCAATTTATAGATTTTGATCCAGTCTCGCACATTCAGTCACGCTGCTGCTTCACTGCGCTCCCACCTGCTGAAACACACACACACACAATAAGAGGGGCCTAGAAAATGTGTTTGTCTTTGTTGGATTTGATTCAAGGCTCAAAAATTGTGAGAATGTTTCTCCATTTTTTTCCAAAAATAAAAAAAAAGAAAAGCTGCATATTCTTCTGTCTGCGTCAGTGTGCGATGATGCAAAGAAAGGAAACATTTCTTTTTTATCCATAGACATGAAAACTATTAAATATATTCATGATCCATCAGAATAATTGGTCTTCTCCACAGAATATGCAATCTACAGTATTAGATCTCTTTTTTTTTTGTATCTGACTGTCTACTGAAGCTGCTTCTTGCCCTCTAATAAATCCAAACTCTTTCACTGTCG